GGATTCAATTTAGCTGCCTTCAGAAAATGCTCTGCAGCTTTCTCTCTCCATTCTTCTCCTCTTTCCCAAATCAATTTCCCCTGAAACCACCCCCCAGACAATCAGCAATTCAATCTAATTTCGGCGAAACTATAATTAATTAAATCCAACAAAATTAACAATTGCAATTAAAACCCTAAAAAAGAGAGAAACTTTACAAGATTAAAATGGTGGGAAGGGTCATCTGGGTGAGAATCCGCGAGTTCTTCGAGGGTTTTCAATTCCTGTTAACATTGCATTGCCATTAGAAATTCCGAAAACGAAGAAGATGAAGATGAAGATGGTAAAGAGTTTACCGTAACATTCATATTCAAATAAAATTAATCCGCCAAAACCCTAAATTAAAGAACCAATTGTTGGGAAAAGATTGCAGGTGCGATCAACTGCAGTGTCAGAGTTTCCGAAACAATAACAACAGTTTGAGCGTTGCGATTCCGACAACCTCTCGTCGGAGAAGTAGAGAAGTGCTGAGTGTTCACTGTTCAGTACACCATACTAGACTAGATCACCTAACCGCTAATTTTTAATTTCGTTTTTCTACCCAAAAATTGATTTGTTACTCCGTACTTAATGGTTAATGTCCCTTAATGATAATTTTGTGTGATGTCGCGCTAAATATATGACTACGAACTTGTTCTCTTCACCTGAAATAAGGAGATTTGGTCTGATTTTCTTAAAATCTGATCTGGTCTAATCTGAACTTTTATTATCTGATCTGATTTTATAATTTGACAAAACTTTGACCACATTTTAATACTCTATAAAGAAAAACATTATCAAAATGGATGTTGTTAGATTCGACTCATTATGATCTTTTCAAATATATAATTTTCATATCTTTTTTTAATACACAATTAACGATATTTAGTAATAAGTAAATGATAATTAAAAGTTCTGGTCTGATCTGATCTGATCAGAATCTATTAAGGAATAAGGAATAAGTAATAAGTATCTGAAACAAGTTGAAGAAAACATGTCCTACATGACCATATGAATGAGTAGTTAATATGAAAAAGACACGCGGTCAGGGTTGTGCATCCCTCCCACTCACCAACGGTGAAAGCAATTTGTTGGACCGACACGACCCTTCATTCTCAGCCTGACTTTTTGCCAAACTTTCGACCTAGAATAAGCTAGACTAGTCCTACCCTCTAAAGGTAGTTTAGTCATAAGCACTTTTTATGTAAGAAAAGGGGGACCACCCTCCTCAACTGGTTCCTTTACACCTAAATTCCACTATATTTTTATGTTGAATAGATGGATTTTTGAAGCTAAACCTCGTACATGTTTGCTTTGTTGACGACTACAGCTAATCACATTACTTATTCACAATTTCTGTTTTTTTTTTTTTCTAAATTCTTCAGAAGTAGTTCATATCAAACGTCTGATGTGAATTCAGCCTCACGTAGCGCCCAATGACTCGAGATTCTCTATTATACGATTATTCCATTTCTTGGGTTTTTAGGAGTTGGTACTTTGGTAGGCTCTCGACTCGCATTTTTTCTCCCACTTTATGCCTTTTTTTTTATACGCTCCAATTTTAAACAAGGTACGCCTAGAAATTATTCTTTCGAGATTCCTCCTGAAACATTTTCCTCTTAACACTTTTTCATTCACAGTTTTACATTTGAAGACCTTTACCAAATCCTTACATTACAAGCTTTGAATGAAGACCTTCCGACCTTTGTGCATAGAGTTGTATGAATGTGAAATTAGTTGTTTATCAATGCAAAGAATGATTTGACATATTTCGAGTCGACTACTAGGTCGAGTGCTTGTCTTCTTAAACACACGAGTGTTGTGAGTTTGGAAGGGCATTGTTCACAATAAAGGGGTTGGATGGAGAGCGATTGGATACATTTGATATCCGCCACATAAATGAGTAAAGAGTGTGTGAGCACTAGTCATGAATTCCATATGCACTTGTGGTTCGCTTGTTTGACGATTGTTAGGGTAGATGAGTAGTTGGATGGATTTGATTGGTTGACTTTGATGCTTATTTGTTGGATTTGCCTTGAGTCGATTATGCTTGGTTTTAGTTGATTTTGGGGTGAAGTATGTTTTATTTGTTCATTGATGAGATCTTAGTTTTGGGACAAACAAAGGTTTGGCTTGGGGGAGTTTGATATGTCTATTTTATATAGTGTTTTACCCCCATCCCTTGGTCATATTTAGGAGTATTTTTGGCTCTACGGAGCTACTTTTATTACTAATATGTGATTTCTAGTGTTTTCGTAGCTATGGTATTGTTTTATAGGAAGTTGCAGATTTGGAGCATTTTCCTGGACTTATTTGAGCCACTCCGAGCATTGGAGTAGGATCGCGTTCATATGACCACATTCCGTAGCCCAAGACCGCGTTGGAGCAATCAAACCGATGATTAAGGGCTCGATAGTTGAGAAAAGACCGAGGCAATGGACCGAATGTTAAGGACCTAAAGAGAAAATCCGGATTGGGCCAAGAAAATAGCCCAATCGAAGAAGTCTAAGCTGCCCGGATGCTCGCCCGACCAGGGAAGCTCTTGAGGCGTGCTCGGTTGGGCGAGGAAGATAGGAAGGAAACACTCTTCGCCCTGAAGCGCGCCCAACCGGGCGCGAGATGAGAGGGCTGCCAGCCGAAGGCGGGCCCGGCCAGGCGAGATGGTGCCCGACCTAGCGCGTGCTTTTGAGGAGCGTTTTTGCGACTTAAACTTTGTTTTACTTTAGGATTTAGGAGCCTAAGTATAAATACACTTTGTTAAGCGAGATTAGCGGACATCATCCATTAGTTAATTTCCAGATTTTTAGTTTTAAGCTTTTGAATTATACTCTTGTTCTCTCAACTCTTTTGGTTTATGAAATTTATTATTTCTGTCTATTTTGGTAATGATTTATTTCCCTTTTATTTTCAATAATTTAATTGCTTGATTAATCATGTCTTGTTTTATTGCTTTGCTTAGCTTAGATATTAATATGTGTGAGTAGTTTTATTTCTAGGGTTGTGGGAATCCATAAATAATATGAAGGGGTAATTTGTTATTGTTGATTGTTAATGCTCGATTAATTTCCTATTGATTGATTTAATGCTATGCAATTAGATTTGGCCAGGTTTAATTGTATGAGTTATGCAATATTAATTTGAGATCCGAGAGATGAGATTTGATGTTTAGGCTTAGTTTCAATAGGCAGGTTAATTTATAAATGGTTAAGTCAAGATTCGAGAGATGCGATTTAATACCGGTAGATTAATTATGTGATTGTAATACGTAGCGAAAGCCCTTTATGATCTGATTAATTGATGCATTGATGATTGATTGTTGTGTTTTACCCTATAATATTATTTATTGGTGAACCTATAATATTATAAGAATGACTAGTAACCAATGGGGCTTAAATAAGCTTGTAATGTGGCTAAATAAACAATAAAAGGGCTATTATTCTTATAATAGAACATCAACAATTTTTTTTCTTTGCTCTTTTTTTTTCACAGAACTCACTCGGAATTTTTCAACTTTTGAACACTTTTTCTCAATTTTTTTCAATCCACAAAAATAAGAACAAATAAACAACTTCTCAAATTCACCCAAAACTGTGCAAATAAATATGCACACTACAAATTCCCTCACCTCACTCACTAATAGCTCCTTCAAGCCAAGCTTGGGACTAGTAACCAATGGGGCAAAATAGGATTGTAATGTGGCTAATAAACAATAAAAGGGCACAAGCAACAACATGGGTAGCAAGAAGGGAACAAATGTATCTAAAAACATCTGAAGGCCACCTAAAAGAACAAATGCCTTCGTCCTCCTCATTGTGCATAATAATGAGTCATACAAACATTACTTAAAGTTATAAACCAATACTCAACTTCATTGACATACCAGGAACTAACACACATTCCTAACCAAATCAACTAGTCAAGCACTATATTCACAAGCAGTTGGGCAAAATTGACTCATGTTAAGATTTCAAAGCAATCAAACATCAAATCATGGCTAACCTATCCACAATACTCATCATCATATACCAAGAATCAAAACAATTTTCATGTATAGGGCACAGGGAAGCATGATTTATCATCCATTGAAACGTATTTTTGTATTATTTTTTTTTCAAAGCAGTAAATCTACCCTAGAAAACAATAAAAACTATACTAAAGCACACACAAAAATAAAATAAAATAAAATAAAGAAATGAAAATATACTTACATCCAAAATCTCCCCCAAGCCAGAATCAGACAATGTCCTCATTGACTCGGGAATTAGTCCAGCGCGACTAATCATCTCCATCCTCATCCATCTGGCCAGACCCACCGCCACTGCCACCTACACCACCAGAAGAACCGCCACCAAAATAGTTAGGGTGAACATCCCCCCCTAACCCCCCAAATGGAAAGTCTTGCCCATAACCGGCAAATGCGGAATAATCATTGTAAATACCATGGGTGGTGGGATCCACATATCCCTGGGGTGGTGGCTGGTACCAGTCAGGGTAAACAACATTATCGAGAATAGCACCCCAACGAGCATAATCATCATACATAGGAAAAAGGGCTCTACCCTGGTTCCTCTCAACATACCCTAACTGTTGGTCAATAAAGCCAACCATCCGCCTAAGGTCACCCTTGGGCTGCTCTACCCTACCTATGGCCTGACCTATACTCTGTAAATCCCAAATAGTCTCGGAATCTGGTGTGGGTCGGGGTCGAGGTACCTGAGGTGGAGGTGGTGGTGCCTCATAGTGAGGTTGTGGAGGTGATGGTGGACGAGGTGAGGCACGTGGTGGATGCCAGGGCAAACCCTGTGCATGAGCAAGTAGAATTTCGTAGGTATACGACTCTTGCCCAGGGGGAAAAGCTGTCAACTCAGGGTTAGGGAGGGGGAAAACAGGGATGTACTCCCTGTCGACTCTGACTAACCACTCTGAAACTTGGTTACGACTGGTTTTAATCCAGTTTAAAAAATGCATATATGACAGGTTTATCAGAGATTCCCCCCACAGTTAGTAATCCCTGCATACTTAGACTCACTGAACCCAACCTTTTTAAGGGCTATCCTAGTGATAAGGCCGCCAATGTGAATGGGGGTTTTAGCATTGTTGCTACAGGAATTGGCGTGCCTACTCAGGTGATGAATAATATAACGGGCGATATTCAATCGTCCATAACCAAAAACATAATGCCCTAGGATATCTAATTCGTTAGTTTGAGCATTGTGGGGTTCGTGACGTCCCAGAAAACAGGTCCCTGAAAATCTGTGAAAATTTTTAGGGACGGGGTGATGGAATGGAAGAGTACTGGCATGCTGCGAATTAGGGCAATTTTTGCCCGTTAGAGAAAAATAAATATCATTTGCCTTATACTCTTCACTCCATTCAGTAGGGGGAGAGGGATCCAGTTCAAACAGTTCAGCAAATTCCACATAATTTAAATTAATGTTTCTGTTGTTTAATCGAAAATGTAGAATTGGACCATTCCTAGATTGTGCTACATTAAGGGATGAAAGAAATTCACATGTCAACTCCCTATATGTCGAGTAGTACATATCAACAAATTTTCGCATGCCAATATCAGCCATGAATTGTTTAACATGATCATACAAGCCTAAATTCTTAAGAGTGTCCCGGTGTAACCACCGGGAAGAAATTACCTCACGTACGGCGAGATTTATCAAACGGTCACGCTGATCGGATGTAGTAATCCGAATGGTTGGCCACAAATCCGGAAGTTGGAGCTCCGGATCATACGGAACTCCTTGGCCCGAACCCGAGCCCGACCCCGTAACGCGAACACTTCGTTGTCTCTTGAACATGGCAAAATTATGATTGTTGAACCCTTCAAAAATAATAATATTAGTATAGTAATGTAGGGGATGAAGAGGGGAGTATAATGATGGAAGAAATTTGAGATTTGGATGAAGGATGAAGGAAAAAAACATAGAGAGAAGTTAGAGAAAAATGGAGTTTTAGAGAGAGAAAGTAATGGAGGAAGGAGAAAGAAAGAAGAAAGAAAGGAAAAAATAAGGTGATTCCGGAGAAATAGAGGCGCGCCCGGCCGGGCAAACTCTCGCCCGGTCGGGCGATCTAGACGCGCTCGTCCGGGCGTGATTTCGCCCGGTCGGGCGAACTAAATCTGTAACGCACCTTAATCTCGCGCCCGGTCGGGCGAGCTTTTGCCAAAAAACTAACTTACTCTCGCGCCCGGCCGGGTGAGTCTTCGCCCGGTCGGGTGATTTTTTGACGTTTACGAAGGTCTCTCGCGCCCGGTCGGGCGCGAGGCTGAATGTTTAGTTCGTAAAAAATTCGCTAGATTTTTGATTTTTGGCTAACTCTTTTTCTCCAACCTGCGTCAAAACACTCTATAACAGTGTTAGTTCCCTCTCTCTGCCTCTCTAAAAAGAAAAAAAATAAATAAAAAAAAACATTAAAAGGAAAAAAAATAAAGGAAAAATACGGGTTGCCTCCCGCAAAGCGCTGGTTTATCAAGGTCCCGCACGACCATCTTACCATATGTTAATCAAGATGAGGAGGGATCGGTTAGGTGTATTAATTCAACTGCACCTATCGTAGCCCCGTCGTGATAGAATTTCAATCGTTGACCATTTACCTTAAATAGACCACCACGATCATCATATAATTCAACAGAACCGAATTTATTTGTCCTTTTAACAGTGAAAGGACCTGACCACCTTGACTTCAACTTTCCTGGGAACAGTTTAAGTCTAGAATTAAATAACAAAACCTTATCACCCTCTTTGAATTCTCTCGGAAGGATCATCTTGTCATGCCATTTCTTGGTTTTCTCCTTATAGACACGTGCGCTATCATAGGCCTGCAACCTAAACTCATCTAACTGGTTAAGTTGAAGTAACCTTTTCTCTCCTGCTAACTTAGCATCTAAATTAAGCTCTTTGATTGCCCAATAAGCTTTGTACTCTAATTCCACTGGGAGGTGACATGTTTTTCCGTACACTAGTTTATAGGGAGAAGTACCAGTAGGGGTCTTAAATGCAGTTCTATATGCCCAAAGGGTGTCATCAAACTTATCACTCCAATCCTTCCTAGACTTTGCTACCACTTTCTGCAGAATAGCTTTAATTTCACGGTTTGAAACCTCTACTTGCCCACTAGTTTGGGGATGGTAGGCTAAACCTGTTCTATGGTATACTCCGTACTTTTTCAGAAGGGTGTCTAACTTCCTCTCATGAAAGTGAGATCCTCCATCACTAATTACGGCTCTAGGGACTCCAAATCTAGGAAAGATAATTTTCTTAAATAATTTGTGAACTACTTTGGAATCATTGGTTGATGTGGCAATGGCTTCTACCCACTTAGAGACATAATCAACGGCAACAAGTATATAACGATTCCTTTTTGAGGAGGGAAAGGGACCCATATAATCAATACCCCAAACATCAAAAATTTCAACTTCTAAGATACCTGTTTGGGGCATCTTATGCCGCCGCGAGATGTTGCCAGTCCTCTGGCAGGAATCACAAGCTATGACAAAGGCCTGAGCATCCTTGAACATGGTAGGCCAATAAAATCCTGACTCGTTTATCTTGGCGACTTTCTTAGCAGGGCCATGATGTCCACCATAGGGGGAATTGTGGCAGCTAGTGAGTACTCCGTGGACTTCCCATTCGGGAACACACCTGCGGAACAAACCATCTGCACACTCTCTAAACAAAAAAGGATCATCCCAAAAATAATGTTTAACATCATAAAGGAATTTCTTTTTCTGTTGATAGGACAAGTCATGAGGTAGAGTAGCACCCACTAAAAAATTAGCATAATCAGCATACCAAGGGTGTTGCTCTACAACTGAGAACAAGTGATCATCTGGAAAGGAATCATCTATAGGGAGAGAATCTTTACCACCATCATATCTGATCCTAGACAAGTGATCTGCTACAACATTCTCTGCTCCCTTTTTATCTTTAATTTCCACATCAAAGTCTTGGAGCAAGAGAACCCAACGGAGAAGCCTAGACTTTGTTTCTGCCTTAGCAATCAGATATTTCAGAGCTGCATGATCAGTAAAAACAATTATTTTAGAACCAACTAGATATGATCTAAATTTTTCTAAAGCATATATGACAGAAAGAAACTCCTTCTCTGTGGTAGCATAATTGACTTGGGCTTCATCCAAAGTTTTACTAGCATAATAAATAGCATGTAGAACTTTGTTCTTTCTCTGTCCTAACACGGCTCCAACTGCAAAATCACTGGCATCACACATAATCTCAAAAGGTAAATTCCAATCGGGAGCACATATGATAGGTTTCGATATTAGAGCTTGCTTAATCCTGTTAAAAGACTCAAGACACTCATTAGTAAAATCAAAAGGGGCATCATTCAACAAAAGCTGAGTTAATGGTTTAGCAATTTTAGAAAAATCTTTGATGAAACGGCGATAAAATCCCGCATGACCTAAGAAACTTCTAACCCCCTTAACATTAACTGGTGTAGGCAATTGCTCAATCACAGAAATCTTAGCTTTATCAACTTGTATACCCTTATCAGATACGATATGACCAAGAACTACTCCCTCTGTCACCATAAAGTGACATTTTTCCCAATTCAAAATCAAATTGCATTCTTCACATCTTTTCAATATTTTAGTGAGATTAATTAAGCATGCATCAAATGAAGAACCATACACACTAAAATCATCCATAAAAACTTCCATGATAGACTCTATGAATTCAGAAAAAATACTCATCATGCAACGTTGAAAAGTGGCAGGGGCATTACATAAGCCAAATGGCATCCTGCGATATGCAAAAGTACTATAGGGACAAGTAAATGTAGTCTTTTCCTGATCATCAGGGTGAATTGGAATTTGGAAAAATAGAGAGTACCCATCTAAATAGCAAAAGAACTTATGATTGGCCAACCTTTCAAGCATTTGGTCAATGAAGGGTAGGGGAAAATGATCTTTCTTAGTGCCTATATTTAATCTACGATAATCAATACACATACGCCACCCTGTCACAGTTCTAGTGGGAATTAATTCATTCCTATCATTTTTTATTACTGTCATCCCACCCTTCTTAGGTACTACCTGCACAGGACTAACCCACTATGAATCAGAAATAGGATAAATAATACCTGCATCAAGTAATTTCATCACCTCTTTCTTAACTACTTCTTGTATATTAGGATTCAACCTTCTCTGAGGTTGAATACATGGCTTGTGGTTCTCCTCTAAGTGTATCCTGTGCATACAAAAATCAGGGCTAATACCCTTTAGATCATCAATACTGTACCCGATTGCCCTTTTGTGAGTTCTAAGAACCGTTAAGAGTTGGGAAATCTGTGGTTCATCAAGTGCAGTACTGATGATCACTGGGTGTAATTCATGCTCATCAAGAAAAACATATTTTAAATGAGAAGGAAGAGGTTTTAATTCAGGTTTCTTTACCTCTGCAGGTTTTGATTCCTGAACCAATTTTTCTACCTTCAAATTTTCTTTAGGGCCAAGCTCTTCAAGGGAGAGAGCTGCCTCTATAGCATCCACTTCTTTGCTCCATATGTCAGCATCACCTGTAGTAAAATCACCACAAAGTACTTCCTCCAAGGGATCTCTTGCAAGAACCTGTGGTAAGCTATCTTCACAAATAATGTCAATCACATCAATAACTTCAATACTACAACAATCTTCCTTAATCATAGGACCTTTTAAAACCTTCCCTAAATTAAAAGTAATATTATCATCTCCTACAGAAAGGGTTAGTTTTCCATTTTTCACATCAATAATAGCTCCTGCAGTGTGGAGAAAATGTCTCCCTAAAATTATAGGAATTTGCGTATCCTCAGCCATGTCCAAAACTACAAAATCAACGGGGATATAAAATTTTCCCACTCTAACAGGAACATCCTCTAAAATACCTAAGAGATATTTAACAGAACGATCTGCCATTTGTAGGGTAATGTTAGTCACTTTTAAGTCACCCATATTAAGTTTTGCACAAATAGACGATGGCATGACACTAACACTGGCACCCAAATCACATAAAGCTTTATCTATAAAGACATTACCAATATGACAAGGTATAGAGAAACTTCCAGGCTCCTTTAATTTTGGAGATTTATTTTGTAGTAAAGCACTACATTCTTTAGTGAAAGCTACAGTCTCTACCTCATTAAAAGCCCTTTTCCTAGTCAGAATATCTTTCATAAATTTAGCATATGCAGGAACTTGTGTAATTAATTCTGTGAAAGGGACAGTTACCTGCAAATTTTTCACTACCTCCAAAAACTTACCAAACTGCTTGTCCAACTTTGTCTTTAAATGTCTGTTGGGGAATGGTAGTTTGATAACAGGTTTCCCTTCATCACCAGCTTTGGGTTTAGTATTATCCTGCAATGCATTATCAAGAGAAGGGTTAGTTTTTTCCTGCAGGGTGTTATCAGTTGAAGTACTAGATTTACCCTGCAACCCTACAGGGCTAGTAACAAAGTTATTTAACCCTGCAGAATCAGAGCTAACATTATTAGATATGATAATTTCATCATCAGGGGGCATAGGAGGCCCATCATAATGTACACCACTCCTCAGAGTAATTGCATTAGCATGATTTGTGGGTTGTACTGGCTGTGATGGCAGGGTTCCTTGTTGGCGATTTTGTAGAGTAGCAGAAAGTTGCGCAATTTGATTGTCAATAATTTTATTATGGGCTACAAGGGAATCAATTTGTGCATCTCTACTCTGCATATGTTTTTGCATACTTGCTAACATAGTTCTAATTTTTGACAAGGCAGGGTCAGTGGATGGAGGTGGATTTTATGATTGGGCCCTTTGGTTGGGAGGTTGATAGTATTTTTGCTGTGGTTGTTGTGGAGGTGGAGGATTTAGCACATTGGTACTCCTGTAGGAAAGATTTGGATGGTCTCGGAGACCAGGATTATAAGTATTGAAGTATGGGTTATTGTGCCTATAGGTTTGGAAGGCATTAACTTGCTCCATGGAACTCCTGCATTCTTGTTCCCATTGTCCTACAATTCCACAATTTTCACAAAAAGAATCGTTAGTATTATTGACAGCAGAAACATTAGATACGGGAGCAGGAATAACAGTACTAAGATTATCTAATTTCTGACAAATAGAGGTTAATTGAGCCTGCAAAAAGGATACTGAATCAACATTATGTTTTCCCTTGTTAGCGAAACCTCTAGGATTCCCATATTGAGAATTATGGATTGACATCTCTTCAATTACTGTTCCTGCTACATCTTCTTGAAGATTCATAAATCTTCCATTAGCTGCCGAATCAAGGATTGATCTAGATGAATTTCCAAGCCCGTTGTAGAAGGCTTGAATAAGCTGCCATTGTTGCATCCCATGGTGTGGGCACTCTCTCTGCAGATCCTTGAATCTTTCCCAAGCCTCATATAAACTTTCATCAACCTCTTGGGAAAAATTTGTGATTGAACTCCGTAGTAGAGCTGTTCTCTCTACATGGTAATATTTATTATAGAAATTCAAAGCAAGAGTATCCCAGTTAGTATACCAAGAGCAACTCTATTCAATCCATTATACCACAATTTTGCTTTACCACACAAAGAAAAGGGAAAAAGAATCTCCCTGATTTGGTCCTGCGTGACCCCATTTTGCCTGATAGTATTGCAATACTGGCAGAAATCTAAAATATGAAGATTTGGATCTTCACCCTTAGCTCCGCTAAATTGCTACCTTTCAATCATAGTAATAAACTGGGGCTTGATTTCAAATTGTACTCCTTCGAGGGCAGGTGGAGGAGTAAGATGTGGGAAATCTGCTAGGGACGGCTGCGAGTAATCGCTGAGCTTGCGAGGTGGTTGGTGCGTCATCTCTGCTTCTAGTTCTGAATAAACTTCTGTATCACTAGAATCAGATGGTGGTTCCAAAGGTATAGAACCCTCGGAAGTAGCTCGTACATGTCTAAAAAGGTTCTTCTGTCTATGAAAGGAACGTTCAATCTCAGGGTCAAACGGAATGTAACCTGATCTAGAACTCCTGGGCATAAACACAGAACTAAAAAAACAAGTATGAGAAACTGTCCCAAAGAACTTACGTTCTCTGAGACGAAAGAAAATAATTTAGACTACAAAAAATAATCAAAAATAAAAATAAAACCGTATCCTCGGCAACGGCGCCAAAGTTTTGACAGGATCTAGTCGTATCACCTAATCAAAAGTAATTACATAAGTCCTCTAACTAAAGTAGATAGGGAAGTAGGGTTGAATCCACAAGGAAACAGTGTTCTTTTATTCCTAATCAATAATTATAATCTAAATTATTAAGTAACCAAATTGTGTTTGTGTGAATTAAACTAATAATAAACTAAGCAAATAAATCAAAGGAATAATCAATAATAAAGAGCTCTAGGGTATAGGTTCACCAATAAATAATACTCCAGGGTAAAACATACGATCAATTATCAATGCATAAATTAACCAGATTATAAAGGGTTGTCGCTACGTATTATAATCACATAATCAATCTGCTGGTATTAAATCTCATCTCTCGAATCTCGACCTAACCATTAATAGATTAACATGCCTATTGAAACTAAGCCTAAATATCAATTCTCATCTCTCGAATCTCGAATCAATAATGCAAAACTCATACAATTAAACCAGGCCTAATCTAATTGCATAGCATTAAATCAATCAATAGGAAATTAATCAATCATCAATAATTAACAATAATAAATTTACCCCTTCGTATTATTCATGGATCCCCACAACCCTAGAATTAAAATCTACTCACACATAATTAAATCTAAACTAATCATAGTAATCAAGGAATGCATGAAAACAACAAATTAATCAAATTGCGAAAATAAAGTAAGCAAGAAATCGTACCAAGAGTTAACGGAAAATAAGGGATTGATTGATTAAAAGGTTTAGGGAGAGAAAGTACTCAAGTACTAAAGAAAACTGAAAAATCCAATCTTTGAGAAAATTCTACTAGCTAATACTAATGAAAGCGTAAAAGACCCGTAATTTCTCACTAAAAAGCGTATTTATACTCCTACTAAAAATAAACCAAAGATAGAAATTACAAAAGAAAGAAAATAATAAAATTCCCTTCAGAAACAGGCGCGCATCCGGGCGAAGCGTGCCCGGGCCTTCTCCTCTCGCCCGGCCGGGCGCGCCTCAGGGCGAGCACTGCCCGATCGGGCGGATACTTGGGCTTACACTTCTTCGTCCATTGGGCCTTGTTACCTTAGCCCAATTCGTCATCCTTATTGGATCGAATTGCCCAAGCTCCAAATTTCCTCATTGAGCCCTTAATCACCGGATTGAATCATCAATTACGGTCTTGGGCTTCTAAACACGATCATATAAATACGTTTCAACTCCAATGCTCGCGGTGGCTCCATTAAATGCCGGAAAATGTTCCAAATCTGCAGTTTCCTGTAGAATAATACCACAACTACGAAAACACTAGAAAACACATATTAGTAATAAAATTGGCTCTAAAGAGCCAAAAATACTCCTAACTATGATCACGGGACGGGGATAAAATACTATATAAAATGAATACATCAAGCTCGCGCGGCCGTTGCGCGGTGTCTTCGCGGGCGCGCAAATCTAGGTTCGGTCACGAGCTTCGCACGTGATATTAATGAAGATCCAACGGCTTATTGGTGATAACGATGATGTAATTTTGTGATTATGGTCGTTGATTTGATGACCGTTGATGTTTGGGTGGTGCGTGATGATGGAAGAGCAAAGCAGCCAAATGAGGGAAACCTAATTCGAAGAAAGAGAAAAGAGGGTGGCTGACTCTTTTGGGTTTATTTATTTTTTTTAGTTTTCTTTTTACTTTATTTTGTTTTATTTATTTTTCCCCTTTCTTATTTCTTTTATTTTCTTTTTGTTTCTTTCTTTTACTTTCTTTATTTTCCTTTTTATTTTATTTCCTTTATTTAATTTTTCTACTTTCCTAGCTTAGTATAAATACCCATTTTGGGGTAATTAAAAGAAAAGGCTTAGTTTTACCTTCTAATTAAATATTTTTCTTAGCTCTCTCTCTTTCTCTAGTTTTAGGGTTAGTTTTAGGAGTAGTTTTTAGAGAGAGAAAGTAAGGAAACCAATGGTGGATTTTGGTTGTTGAAGATTCAAGAACACTGCTTGTATTGGAGCCTTCCATCATTAATCAGTGAGAAATTTCTTACCTTCTCTTCTCTATTTTGTTTATTGCTTTAGTTGTTAGTATTGCTTAATCCTGTTGACGCTTATTAATTTGTTGATTAATATTGTTATTAGCATGATTAGTAATTAATTCCCCAACTAAGGGGATAGTGGTGGTGTAGTTGGATCTTGAGCATGTCTTAGGGTTTGGAATTGATTTGTTTGAGATTAAAATGCTTTGTTTTCCATGTCTTACCAATTATTTCATTTGAGGGGCCCATCAATTGTTGTAGTTGGGTGGATTGAACTAGGTTATGGCGATAGCGTGATCTAGGAATTTCCATTGAATGATTTGCTTGATTTGTACCTTGATTCGTGTGGCTTGTGACGACAGTGTAAGTTGCGCTTGAGTTGAGAAATCAATTAGCCCCGATAGGTGCTTAGATTATGCTTTAAATCATTGACATGAGTTGCTTAGTTCACGTTTCAATTCAATTCCATGCCTTTTCTATGCTTGAGTGAATGCTAGCTATACCTAAACTGTTTCCCTTAGTACTTTATTTCTTGTTTTAGTGTCATTAGACTTTAGATTACTTTCCCTTATCCCGAACTAGCTTAGTTGTTGATAACATTTGGTGGTGTTTAATCGTTCATTGTGGTTCGACCCCTATGCTTACCTTATACTCGTATTAGGTTTGTTTAGGTTTTATAAATTGTATTTGATTTAGGAATATTCGTTTGATGACGCGTTTATTCCCTTATTAGTGACCACCACTCACTCTACCACTAAGCCAAAGCTTCACATAAGTATATATTTCAAATGTCTTACATGATTTCTTCACTATATATATAAATATTTTAAACCCGTTCTTTGTTAGCTTGTTGCTGTAGTGAAGTCGGCATATGGTTCATCTCTAGAGATTTGGGAAGCTATGGTTGTTCATTATGCGCTACAACTTGTTGCGAGGTTGGGGTATTTGAACGTGATTATAAAGAGTGATGCTATCAATGTGATCTATGCACTGAACAAAGGGACTAAAGGGGTTGTAATCGTTGGTTGGTACACCCAGGTGTACCATGCGCATGGTACACCCGAATCAAAACTAGTTTATAAAAAAAAGCAAAAAGAACATAACTTATATTTGTAATGAACATCACGACTTTATAAAAGAACAGAGCATTGAAATATAAAAAACGTGATATTTTGGTGAAACAGTTTTTAAAAAAGGTAAAAGATAAATTACCAATTGATTTTTACCACGTATTTAATGTCAAATCATTTCAAAATATTCAGTTTTTTTATAATTTCTCTCTCTAAAATTATTTTTATCAAGATTTCATTTTCAAAATTTCAAATTCCAATATTTTTAATTCTGTTCTCTTTCTTTTTTTAAAAAATTCTCTAAATAACCAATTATATATTTTTATATTTTGTTATGATATTCATCTTGGTCATATGTATCTATTATGATGTTCATTATATGATTTTTAAATGTCCATGTTTTTTTATTGTAATTTTAATGTACCTTCATTGTCACACAATGTTCATTACTTATTGTGAAATGTTTTCTGAATTATGTTTTAACATGTTGGGTAAATAATATAAATAATATTCTT